GACCGTTTCTATGAGGGTCGTAATAGTCGCAATTTGCGACCGTTTTTTACGGTCGCAATAGAGTTGTTTTATTTACAATTATTTTTAACATGTATATCATTTTTAAATATTTTTAAATCTGCGACCGCCTTAAGAACGGTCGCAAATCTGCGACCGCCTTAAAAACAGTCGCAAATATTATATTTTGCGACCGTTTTAATGACGGTCGTAAAAAAACGGTCGTAATTTGACCGAATTTTAGTAGTGTATATAAGGTTCAAGGGGATAACGTTCCCTTCTTGAACGAAACTTTTTATTTAATTTGAAAATATTACAACACTCATATATTACACACAAACTGAAAGCTTAAACAGACATAAGCTGAACTAGAGTTTTCTCTACTTTAAGAGAGATGGAGAACCAATCTGTCTCTTAAGGTGAGTATTTTTCTCTAGAGGACTCTCTAATGCTTTCAGAGCAATTCTCTAGCTAACTCTTCCAACCCTGCCTTCACTTCTTGGCCTAAGTCCCTTTATATAGGGAAGCAAACTTACATAGGATCCTTATCCTGACTCAGCAAGCAATTCTACACCATTGCTTTTTACAAAGATATTTTAAGACAAAAACAATTAATTAAACGTGGCTACAGTAAAGATGTCTTGAATTATTGTTGGCGTGGGCTCAAGCATTCATAATTTCATCCATCATCATCTCTTGTAGACCTCCCTCACTATCTTTACTGTCTTCGTACATAGGATTCTCTCTGCAAAGGTCTGCAACACATTTGGCTGCATACTCTTCATCCCAACTCATGAATGCTTCAAACAGATACTCATAGCCTTCAAATGACAGGAACTTTCCTCTTTCTATATCTTCTAAATATTTATAGATTAACTCAGTGTTGTTTATGCCATCTACTAAATATTCTTTCATCTAGTTAGGCGCCACAATTGTTGTGTTACCAACATGAAACATGACAAGAGGAATTTCTTTCCTTTTTATAAAATCATTAAGATATTGTGATATGTAGAAAAATCTCAGTGCTCTTTCTTCAGTCAGATTTCTAACAGTCTTCTGACGAATTAGTATGGGATCTTTGCAATACCTCACTTCCCCAAATATTATCAAGTAATGCGGGGGACTAACTTTTCCTTCTTTAACTTCGATATTAGCACATTGTACCTTTACTCTTAACTGAAATTCGTCTTTTTTTCATCACAATATTTTCGAACCTTGTTGAATACGTACTGCTGGAACTTTGTAAGTTTTGGAAAGAAAGAGTCATTAGGAGTAGGTAATTCATAGAAATCATGTACCATTCCATAATCCCAAGCCTTGTAATGTATACTAATGAATGGAGCATCTTTATCAAGAGGATATGGGTAGATTCGCAATGATGCAACTTTAGAGTTTTTGGGAAACTCTACTCTTTCTCCCCATAGATCTCGAAGATCAAAGAATTTACTGGACCTTGTAACCACCAACTCGTACCATGTCCTAAAATCGTTATCTCTTATTTTGTTTAATATTGTTTCTTGTACATCAGGAATGAGCTGAAATAACATAATTGTTATTTCGAACATCAATAACCTTTGGACTGCCCGATGGCAACCCTTAATTAAACCATCTCGCGAACGTTGTTTTGCCGATATGACCAAGCCTTGCATTAAGGCCCAACTGGAGGGTGAAACCCGCTCCATTGCTTTTCGGTCTCATCAATGAGAGTTTTCCTCTCTACATCCATCTTTTGAAGTTGGTATGCAGGAGGTTTTTGTGTAGTGTTGAGCTTCTTGGACGACATTAGCTAATTCTCTGGTCAAGCTATCTGCCAAAGAATTCTTTGTTCCCTGTATATGTTCAACAGTAAAAGAGAATTGGTTAAGCCATAATTGCCAACGCAGGAGTCTCCCTTGCACTTGCATATTAGACAAACTCTTTTTAACAAAACCGAGTATGCCTTTGCAATCTGTTCTTATTAAGAACTGTTTAGGGGCTAAGAAGATTAAAAACTTCTCGATCCCACTAATAACTGCAAGGATTTCCTTTTGCATTGTAGGATAGTTTAACTCAGCTTTGTTAAAACTTCCACTGCTATATCTGCAAAGTCTTTCTCCTTCTTTTATTTTTAACACAACACTCCAGTGCTCATTACTAGCATCTGTTTCAAGGACTAAATCATCTTTTACACATAGCTTTTAAATTTTGAACAATTTTGGAATCACTTTCCTTCTAGTTCCAAGTTATTTCTTTCTTGAGTTTTTTCTGTAATGGCTTCCTTAATAAAGCAAGATTTTCTTTAAAATCAGAAGCATAGGTTAAACATCCTAAAAATCTTTCTAGTTGCTTTCAATCTTCAATTTTATCAGGAATTTTTTCAATCTTTTCTAAAATATGTTTTTGCAATATTATTTGTCCTGCTTTAATTTCTAATCCAAGAAACTCAATTTCTTGTTTAGCATAAACACATTTATCTTTTCCAAGGATTATACCATGCTCTGCACATTTTTGAGTTACTGCTTTAAGATCATTCTTATGTTGTTTTAAATCTTTTGAGAATATTAATTATAATATCATCTATATAGACCAAACAACAATGATTAAGTTCTCTAAAAATATTATCCATTCTTCTCTGAAAAATTCGTGGAGCATTTTTTAATCCAAAAGGCATTATTAGCCATTCATAATGCCCTTGAGGGGCACTAAATGCGGTTAAAGGAATACTTTCTTCTTCCATTTTAATTTGCCAGTATCCACTTTTGCAATCCATTTTAGAAAACCATGTGGCTCCTTGTATACTATTAAATAACACAGTTTTATTAGGAATGTAATAGCCATCAAAAACAGTATTGTCATTTAGCTGTTTATAATTAATGACCATTCTAGCTTTACCTCTCTTTTCTTCTGCATGATTTCTTACCATGAATGCTGGACTATTATGAGGACTTTTGTTATTCCTAATTAGTTTTTTATTAAGAAATTCTTTTATTTGTTCATCAAATTCCTGAATATCTTGGTAGGTATAAACCATTTGTCTTACTCTAATAATCTTATTAGGATTTGTTAGGGTTATCTTAGTAAATGCTTTATCCCTTTCCCAATGTTCTAAAGGATTTGTTGAATAAAGTTTTTCGCATATTTTTTCTTGTTGCTTATTTATCTGATTTATTAATGATGAATCACACTCAGAAATTCTAAGTGCAACCTCTCGTTGTGTAGGAGTAACCCTATCACCACGCTGGCTGCACGTAAATTCCATTGTCTGATGAGTATAAGCCTTTGTTATTTTCTGTATAGGAACAGAATGACCATTAATAGTAAAGATTATTTGATCAATAGTTTGAGCGCATGGAGAGTATAATCTTTGAAAATTATTTCCTATTATCATATCATGACTAGGTTGATTAGTTGCCCATAAAATGGGAATAACACATTGAACTCATTCAATTTCTATTTTTAAATCTTCAATTATCTTTGTATGCATCATGACACTATTATTAGCAATTCTAACTTGCATAGGATTTTTGGCCTTTTTCCACAAGAATTCTGGAAATAATGATCTCTTTCCAAAACATGTAGAACAACTACTATCAATATATGCACATATTCTATATTTATTGTAATCCTCAATGCATATATCTATTGGAATATAAATTCTATTAGGATTAGTACTGGATATTTCATTACAAGCTTCCATTTGCATATTAACTTCATCCTCATATACTGGTTCACTCACAGTTTTGGTTTTATATCCAATTACCTTCCTTTTATCAATAGGATTATTTGGATCTTCATTTAACTCGAAATTTGAACATGATCCCATATCAATGCTATGCCTTGCTGGTTGTTTCAAGGCTTTTTTACTTTCATATTTTTCATTTAGTTTCTTTAGTAGAACTAATATTTCTTCTTCATCCTCCTCTGACTTTTCATCACCTTGTTTTTTCATTGTTATTATTGTTGAATTTTGTCTACTTAGACTTGGTGTTCTAAGACTTAGATTTCTCTATATTTTAGGTTTTATATTCATTCCAATATGAAGTAATCCTGATTCATCAATTAACATCTTACTTGATCTATTACTAACTGCAGGGTTCATAAAGAATTCTTCCCAAGTTTTTTAAATTTCAATTTCATTAGGATTTATCTTTATAGGTGTAATTTTCTTCTTAGGACCTCCTCCTTGCTCATATTTCTGAGCATCGACTATTTATTTCTTAAAAGATGAGTCTATAGTGTTTACCAACTTATAAACCACCTTCCATCTTAATTGTATGGGTCGTGTTCCTTTATGCATTTTCACTCCTTCTGTTAATAGCTTGATAACTAAGAGCTTTGACGCAAAGGAATCCTCTAAGCTTACATAATATCTAGGTCCACATATATAGCTTACCGTCCCTTGACTTAAGTTACATGTGATACCACTAATTATTTGATCATAAAATTCTTTATGTCTAATATCACAAATGAAACTCAAGCATTTAACATCCTTGCCAAAAATCTTGCAAAGGAGTTATATATACTTGTACTGCGCCAATACAAATATAGCTATAATTTCCTTTTTCTTTATGTTTTTTAATACTTTTCCAGTTAATGATATTAATTTCGGCTGCCTTTTGTTCACAATCTTCGATCACTATGCTTCCTTCCATTTCTTCACATACATATTTAGTTCTAGTTTTAAAGAAAGAAGTTTTAAATATTTTATCTTTAGTAATTTGGGGAAAATTCCAGATTTCTTTGTTTACTTTATCTAGGTCATTATCTTCAAATGAATACTCAGCTCTTTTTAGTTGACCTATTTTCATTTTGCTTTTATCTTCCTCACAGTCATCTGATTCTGAATTTTCTAATTCTTCTCCTTCCATCATGTTATTTATTTCTTCATAATTTTCATCTTCAAACTCATCACTAACTTCAGGTTCTTCATTATACTCATTTTCCTCTTCTATGATCTCTACTATTCCTTTATTGTTACTTAAAGCCAATTCTAAAGCCTTGTCTTCTGGTATTTCTATGTAATCTCAATTTCCTAAGGCTTCCATTAGTTTATGATTAGCTTTCTTACATTCATTGGCATAATGTCCTAGTTCTCCACAAGACCAACACTTGCATGTTTTCTTTTTCTCAGGACAATATGTTGCCTTTCTGAAAAACCTACTTGGCTTTCTATATCTATGTTTATAATACTTCTTCTTATAGGTTTCTCCTCTTGATCGGTCATATTTATTTTTCTTATAGTTCCTTCTTTTATTATAATTTTTTCTTTCACATCCATAATTATTTGGGAAATCCCAACAAGTGAGAAATTGTCTCTTCATTTGTTGAGTTCCTGCAACCTCTCTACATTTCTTTTCAATCCATTTTCTAAGGAAAGCAATTATGTTACCTAGGGCATCCCTAGCTAAAAATCTCTCTCTCCATTCTTGATATTTTTCACTAATCTCTTCATTAAGAGGACTGGGTAATTTGTCATAGAACATTCCAAGATTTGTTTCATTTTCACCAATTTTATAATAGTATGTTTCAAATTCCATAATGTAATCATCAACATATTTAATATTACAGATGGACAAATTACTTAACTTCCTTTTATATTCCATTCGTTTTTCATTAGGATCTGCTCTAGGACCAATGAATTCTATCTCAATGTATTGACATAATTGTCTGAACATTCTAGTAGGTGATTCACTAGCTCTTAATACAGTTTTGACTTCTTCCTCTATTCCATCGTACCAGTCTTCTACACAGCCATAAAGACTATGTTCGATATAGTTTAAGAAATTTTCTGAAGTCCATTCAGTGTTTAAATTAAGTACACTACTCATACCCTTCTTCCATTGATCTAAAACATCTTGTCTATCTCTTACACCGTCTAGCTTAAGTTTATAACCAGTTTGACTTATAGGTTCAAGAGTCACTTCTTCTTGTTTAGGTATATGATTAGGCATAACCTTGACACTAAACCGGGTAGTCTTCCCTGGTATGTATCTTGGTCTTGTGCAACTTCCTTCTCCTTGATACCTAGGTATTTGGATGACATTGTCTACATTAATGTTTTCATTAATAATTTCCTCTCCAACATCATTATTATCCATTACTCTTTTTCCTAGTTTGTTTTCAATCTTTTGTTGAACAACTTCTATGGGCAGAAAGTCTAGATCATTTAACTTCATTTATCCCATTTGTTGATATAAATCTTCCACTAAAGTAGCATAATTATTTTCCTTTATTTCATTATCAGAAGCAATCCCTTTGTTAGAAATTGAGTTCATGATTTCGTTAAGCTTATAGGGTCTTCTTCTTCATCAAATAGGACTTGTAATTCGTTAAGTGTTTTCTCCTGAAGATGAGGGTTCATCTTTAGCCTCTTTTTTCTTTTCTTGGTTACTAGTTGGTCTTTTAGGGAGTGTTACAGTAAACTTTTTATTTTTATCTAGATTTTGAAAAGGATATTTATATTTGTATGGGACAATTTTCTCTTTATTAGGCGATACTTCTTTTCCAAATTGATGCCTAACTTCATTTGTTAAAGCAAGTTGAACTTGTTTAACCTGTTCGTTTAGATCGCTTACCTTTTTATTAATATCGGTTGTGGTTATTGATATTTTATTCTCGATATTAATACAATGAGCATGTATGTTATCAATTTCCGATCTTAACTCACCAATTTGGTCTACAATATAATTAAGGACTGGGCCAAAATTACTAGTATTTTCAGGAATATGATAATAATGCTTAAAATCAGGTTTTTTACACTCAGTAGAAGGTTTAGTATTCTCCAGTTTTACCTAATTATTAAATCAACTTATTTAATCTTTTAACCGTATGGCTCTGATACCAAATCACGCAACTTAACAGTTTCTAATTTATAATAACTGTATTGTCTTCCTTAATAACAGATTTCACTTGTATAATAACTGTAGTCAAGCATAATACTTATTTTTTAACACAAATACTTATCCTTTTAATATATAAGTACTACTGAAAAGTTCAAAATAACACCTCGAAAACAATATTGTAGAAACATATAACAGTATTTAATTTTATTTTAACAGGCTAGAACTTAAAATAACAGTATTAAAATAGGAAATAACTTTTTTCCAACACTTAGCGATTTTTTTTTCAACGGTGGTATGGACCTTCCTAGTCCCTACCTGGTAGTGGGCAATACTTTCTCTTAATGTTGTAAGAAAAACAAAGTTGAGGAATAGTTCGGTATTACAAAGTAACTAAATTTCTTTGTATTATGATATAAATTAGCTAGTAAAATAAATTAGAATTTAGTCTTATACATGTTTTGTTAATTTTTTTTAATTACTCTCTCTGTTTGTGTTTTTTAAGTGTCAGAATCTAATCGGCACATAGTTTTAGGCAATTTAATTGACTTAAATAAAATAAAAGATAAGTGGGGGTAGTTGGAGTATTAAAAAATTGAAAAAAAATAGTGGACTTAATAGTTTAGTGGAAAATAATATAATGAATGTGAATGGAAAGAAATGATAATTAAAAAAAATTAGTAGTGTGTGTGGAGACTATGAGTGGAGAGAGATATAATATAAAATGTAGTTTTTTGTCAAAATAGAAATGTAACACTTACAACACTACACGGCCGCATTAGGTAAGTGTAAGTTGTGTAACCACTTAAAAAACACAGAGAGAGTAGACAATTTGAAAACTTTATACTCCTATCGTCATCTTTTAATTGCAATATTAGATGTTTCATATTCACTTGTCACTATAACTTTATTTACAGCTGTCAAAATAAAATTAAATAATAAAATTATTTACATATCATAAACGTTAATATTTTGAAGCTAAGCATTGAGATGATGTTCACAAAATTAACATGACTATGATTTTTTTAACGTCACAAACGAATAAAATTAATGTGTATGAATATAGTGGAAATGTCTAACATGACAAAAACAAATTTTTTTTATTACAAAAGTTCAAACAATAACTTTAATTAATATATATACTTCTTCCGTTTCACTCACATGCTCTAATGAATATATATTTTTCTTTAATTTCGAATGAGAAAATCCTCTTAAAGAAGAAGAAAAACCCTTTCTTTCGAGGGAGAAACGTTTTTCCTAAAAGAGGGAGAGTTATTATAAATCTAGAACAAACTAAAACAAGAGGAAAGGCACACAAAAAACAAAGTTTGGGGCTTTAAACTAGTAAAAACCGACGAAAGCCCCTCCAAATTCAACAGTAAAGGCTAGGGTTTTTAGAGAGAGGAGAGGAGAAAGAGGAGATATGGAGTACAAGTATGGCGTTGATTGTTTAAATGCGACATACCTTCTTTGCACATATTTTAAGAAATGAATTAAACAATATAAACGGATAAATTATTCAAAATAATTTATACACATAATGCGTAGTATATAAATAGATGAATTTATAAAAGTGATTTTCTACACCAAATTACGAATAGACACTTAATAATAGAATGAAGAGAGTAAGTATTACTCCGTATTTGTTTTAAAAGTTGGTTGACGCGTGCACACGGGGATCCAACTAGTAACATACAATAAGAAAAGCTACTAGTATTTAATATTTATATATTTATGTAGTAGTAAAAGTTTATTTATATTTAAGTCTATATATTTTAAGGTACTTTAATTTTTGCAGTAGTACAATTGGAATCTAGCCACCATTTTCTGGAATCATAGGCTTATCTTAATTTCATTTTCTTGCAGAGATTGATTGAAAGCACCAATCATTGGTATTATGATAATTATATACAATATACTTTGTATGTTTAGTGAAAATATAGATACTTAATCAAATACTACGGTGTTATAAAATAATTTTAAATGTTAAATACATGTCGTACTACTAAATATATATTTAAAAATTCATATGAGGTATTAAACAATATATAGGTCTCTTGTATGATGTGGCCGGATACCTTCAATTAATGACATGATAACAAAGCCAGCTTCAAATTGATAAGCCTAGCTATACTATAGTTGTGAAAAATATATGCCCTATAATAACATTAGCATGCAAGTGATGCAACATATACTAGGAAGATGGATATAAAAAAGAATAAATATATTATAAATGTAGAGTATTACATATTGATAGAGTATAAAACATATTCTTGGGCCTCAACAATAAGCTTAAGCTTTTTGTTGAGATAGTCCGTTAACATGGTATCGGAGCCAACGTGACATAAAGGTTACGGGTTCGAATTTTATCCACTGCACCCCTCCTTTATAGGTTATGTGCAACGATTTGACATAAAGAAGAGAGGAAGAATGTTTAATCATTGTACATAACCTGTAACGGAGGTAGTATATATTGTACCATATTAAAATTACCATTTGCCATCATGCTTATAGATTCCAAGTGATATTCTCGCATATTATTGATCCTATTCTTCCATTAACTTGATTATTATCCTTATCCATCAATAGATGTATGAGGCCAATAATTAGCAACTTAAAGTACTAAGTACATATTTATTTATATATTTATTGAAAAGGTTAACATATAATATGAATGTACAATAGTATTATTTTTATGATGGACTTTCAAGCATATATATATATATATATATATATATATTTTTTCAGTTTTTACTATATAATTTTATATTTTACAAGTTTGTTTGGATTTATCCTATGATGTAACATTTTTGTAGCTTTGTATAGATTATCGTGGCATTAAAAACTAATCCGATTTAAAAAAAATATATCAGATTCAAATGTTAACTTTTATAGACACAATAATCTAACTTAATCCAAATTTATAATTAATTAAACCCGATCTAACCTAACTCACCGAACTCGATTTGAACATCCAAATTTATCCTCTACTAGAACCAGGATATGGTTTGAAAGTAAGAATAATAGTACTGTACGTGTAAGATTATGATTGAGTAATTAAGTCAGTAGCTTGGCTCCGATCCCAAGGTTTGTCTTTGTTTTAATACTTGGAGGAATCGAACTCCCCAGATTAAACTTTGCTTTCTCTCTCTTGCTTTGTCACATCATTTTTTAACACTTTCCACTTTCACATAATATTGATTCTTCTTTATTTGTTGCTATTCTTGTTTTTTGTTTATTTATTTATTTTATTTTACAAGTAATTTGTTGCTCCCTCGATCCCTAAATTACATTCTTGTTTTTCTCTATTATATGAGGAATAAATGCTATAAATAAGAATGTAATTTAGGGACGGAGGGAGTATTGTATTATTTTTAGAGATTTTTTTAAAAATCAATACGTAAAAGCTACTCTTATACTCCCTCTGTCCCAGTTTACTTGCAACATTTTGACTGGACACGTTGCTGATGCACATGTTTGACTGTTGATATCTTTAATTATATATTTATATAAGTTATAAAAAGTTTATATTAAGTAATTATACATTAAAATAGACCCAACAACATCTTACATGATTACATTAACTTTCATATAATAGTTAAAAAAGATGGTCAAAGGAAGATGTGTGAATAGTGCAAAAAGTCAAACCGTTGCAAGTAATTTGGGACGGAGGGAGTATGAACTATGAAGTAATATTATACTTTTCTGTTCTTTTTTACTTGACCCATTTTGACTTTTATACTATTCACCACTTTACCTTTGACCGTCTTTTGTGAATTATATGTAAGGAAAATCTTGTTTATACGGGACCTTGTTAGAATCGTCTAATTAATTACTATCATATATATAACCTTTATAGTTTTACTTATAGAGAATTAAAATTATTGATAGTTAAAGTTATGCATCGACAAGCGTGATAAAAGAAACAGATCAAGTAAAAAAACGGAGGAAATATACAAGTAGTAAAATTTCTTTAGTTGTATTAATGTACATATAGTAAACTTGCTTACTCTGCTTTGAACTTATTATTTGGAGTTTACATTACACTACATAAGAAATACATAACATGCATACAGTGTATAATACATACTTAGCTTGTATATAATGCATAGCTGTTTTTTTTCTTCATATATATACACTTGTGAGAGGTGCGGAGCTAGGCTGGCCTGGCTACACCTGTAAAGGTCTGAAAGATGCCGATTTAGTAGGGTATTTTATTTTACCTTAAAAAATAAAAAGGATAAAAAATATACTTGATA